TCATCACCATCACCATCATCAACTCCTACTCGGGGAGCTGGCTTTCTCTCATCAGGGAAGTGGAGCTCTGGACCCAGGCACCAGCAAGGCCAGCGGCGGTCACACGAGAGAGCTCTGTCCCTGTCCCAGCACCCCGCACGTGCACCTGTGACCGTGTCACAGGCCAAAGGGCAATGCACCGTAGGTTCCCACAGCAGACGTGCAGGGGAGACATGAACCAAGCAATCAGGGGGTAGATACGCTGGCGCCTTTTCAAAGACTTCCCTCCCAGCATCACTTAGAGTGGAGACACGCTACATTTTCATTCATTCGTGCCACTCGTCTATTTATTCGACAAATATTTCTTGAGCACTTACTATATGCGAGGCATGTGCTCTGAGCACAACACGAGTCACGGGTGTTCTCAAGGGCATATCAGTAAGTCTCCAACAGCCACCTCAGCGGCTCTTAATGGGAACAATCAATCAGAAGGACATGGAGGGGGGGATGAAACGGCTACTTTGTCCTTTAAAATACTATGAGTCCTAAAGATACTGGAACGCTTGGGTAAATAAAGCAGGAATTAAGGAACCCCCAAGGCAACTGAGGGCAAACAAGACACTCTTTTTGTCTTCAGCCCAGACATCAGACTGCTGGGAAAACGTGAGGGGATTCTGTTAGCTTTCACTAAACACATCTGCTGCTGGGTTAACTGAGAAGTCCCCCGTTGTAAGGCTCTTAGGGGTGAATGAAGGATCCCCCAGAGGTACAGATGAAGACACATGAAGAAACCCAATTAACAATGGCATTCAGTGGGCACAAATCATCCTATCACCACACAAGCGTCCGTGCCCATCTTGCTACAGTTACTCTGCTCGACTGCAGGCGAGCAGTGTGAATACTGTTTAGGTGACCCGCCCCTGGCCAGCGATGGCAGAAAGGAACCTTGACCCCATAACTCCTGCACCACCAGGACCACACACGCGAAATGCACGCTTCTGCAGAGGGCGGTGGTGCAGCAAAGCTGTGCAGAGAGTCTGGGCTTTGCAGTCGGAGGGGTCTAAGGTGGACAGCCATCCCATCCCCACGCTCTCTGGCTCCATCATATGGATGGGTTACTGAACTTTTCTGAGTCTTAGTCAACTCATCCTTCACATATGCATAACAACACCTGTTAAAAGTGTTGTTCTGGATAATGAACATAGAGCCCTAACTTGGATCTTGAAACACACAAGGTGATCAGTAAATATCGATTCGCACCAGAGCACAACATTAAAGTTTTCTAGGGCTTCAGCCTCTGGATGATCCACCCTCTTCCTTGTCCTGTTTCTTCCTATCCTGTTTGGTTTTGCTGTTTCCTCTCCACTGGCAGATGTTGAGCCTAGTTCTTACAACAGAAGATGCCAATCACCTCTGATTCATTTATTAACGATGTATTTATTAAGCACCTTCTATGTGCAGCATGCTGCATTAGGGGCAGTACTGAACGCAGAGACGAACGGACGTCAACCCTACCTGCAGAATCTTTATCACTTAAGAGGGAAGCCAAACTTGGAGCACAACACAGAGTGATGCGTAATTTAAGACGAGTACATAAAGTGTTGTAAGTCAGAGGAACCAGAAAGTTTTTCCATCTGGGACAATCAGGGAAGACTGCTCAAAGGAGGTGCCACACAGAGTAGGTTTTAAGCACGGGAAGAGCTTAACGCAAGGAAGGGTGGGGAGCATTATCAGCAGGGCTATGGCAGGAAAGGAATGTAGGCAGGAAAGCCAAGGGTTTCTAGAAAGACCTCAGAATGGCATCATGTCTGGGATACAGGTGGGGTAAAGGAAAGACAGAGATGAAGGGCATGGTCACATCAGACTGTCCAGGATCTTGAAGGCCAGGCTAACACATCTGGATGTGACCTGCAGACAACGGGAAGGCTTGTAAGCAGGAAAACAATAAGGCACATTTGGCTGGAGTTCTCCTCACTGCTTTTCCCTGCGAGGAGCCTGGGCGCCCCTCACTGGTGGCTCTGTGGTCCAGTGTCTGCATTTCCTTCCAATGACCCTGCCTGAGCAGAACGTTCGCACATTCCACTGCAAAGGCCAGGCCACCCTCTCAGAGCGCTCCAGAGTTCTCCCTTCCAGTCGGGAGTCCAGTGGAGGAATTTATGCTGATGTCATAAATGGCCGGCACAGTCTGAACCCAGAGGCCCAAGACTTTCGCAGCCCGGGTCATAACTTGTGCTAGTTACCCATGTTTCTGTTAATAGCATTGCAATCGCTCGTCCGCCACCAGGAGAGTGGCCATTCAGAATGTATCATTACTGGTGTACAATGTCATAAACCCAGTGAGAAAACTTTCAGGCATACCAGCCGATAGATTTCAAGAGGAGACGTGAGATCCTAAGTCCCTTTCAGAATTAGAGGGAGAAATATCATCCCAGCAGGAAAAGAAAAGAAAAGAAAAGAAAAGAAAAGAAAAGAAAAGAAAAGAAAAGAAAAGAAAAGAGAAGAAACACCTAAAACAGCTCTCTGTTCATCAAGTTCTTAAAACACGCTACAAACCAGACTGGAGTGAATTCCACGGACATCTGGACGACAGATGCCATTTATCGGAGACTATTATTCCTTTTAGTGATCAGTCCCCTCGCCTGAACAATGGAGTCTGGTCTGAATGCCGCACCTGACCACTTCAGGTGTTCATCCTATACAGGGGAGAAGATGCCGGCAAAATGTAGGAGGAGGGGAGAGATGAGAAAAAGATATGCAGGAAGAAAAGCAACTGAGGAGAAGGCAGCCAGAGAGTACAGACGAAAGAAGGAATGCGGAGTGGGGACTGAGTCCACACTGTGGGCAGCCCCTCCTCTGCCTGAGGGAGAACAGCAGAGCACAGCCCCAGGAGTGACAGATGAGCCACCAGACCGGAGCCCATCGAAGGCGCTGAGAGGCCTAAGGTCACTCACTAAGAGCTGAAGACACAAAGGTGAATACGGTCGGTGGGTCGGGCCCCAGCTGTTAACCAGCTGGAAGTTTAGACCAGGTTTAGCCTGACAGGTAAACAAGTGACGGCAATACAATGGGTGGAAATGCCACACGAAGAAAAGAGAGCTGTTGAAAAGGCTTTGAGAGCCCCAAGGGAGACAGAGCATTCTTGAGGGGTGTGCTGGTCCAGTCCCTGGATCCCTCAAGACCTCCTCTCTACGAAGCGATTCTGTCCAGTTGCCTGGGCCTCAGGGTTGTTTTGACATTAAATGAACTCGGGGCTGAAGACCCATCCTGCAGACTGAAGGTCCTGTGCCAAAGTAGGAGATGGCTATGCGCCCCGCCCCCGTTCACGTGCGCAGAGGCCTGGCTAGCGCTTCCTTTGTGCCCAGAGAACTGGTCCTGGGGGGCTGAGCACTGAGCCCTCCCCGGCTTTTCCCAATCCACTCCACCATCCCAAGCTTAATGCAACCAGTCTGGCTCTCCACCGTGTGTCCAAGCGCCCACAAACACGCAACCTGGAAAATAAAGAGGAAACACTCACCAGCGTCAGGGTGCCTGCAGCCTCGATGTCCACGCAAGGCGGCGGAGTCGCTGCTGCTTCTCAGGGCCCCTGAGCGGCCACCTCTCCTTCGGGCACCCTCAGCCTTCTAGCCTCTCTTCACCAGCACTTTGCGCGCCCCCTTTGCTGCCTGCTCCTCGCTAAGGGTCCCAGGTTTCCTGTCTTCTGTACTCCCCCCTCCCAATCCTGAACGCTTCTCCTGCTGGAGGAGAGTCTTTTCTCAGATCTCCTGGAGGATGTGTGTGGGGTCCGGGGAGGCCGCTGGTGACCCTCTGAAGCTCTCTCTCGGGGTCCTAGCCCAGTTTCTCCCCCCTAGCCTCCCCTTCCCTCCCCTCCCCTCCCCTCCTCCTCCTCCCGCCCCAGTCCCTTCTCCCCTTTCCTTCGGACCTCGCAGTTCCCCACCTCGTCCTGTCCCCTCTCTTCAGGCCTCTTTCCCGGGCTGGGCCCCCGGGCTGCCCGCATCCCCGGGCTGCCGTGCCCCGTCTGGTGGCCGGGCGCCCGCGCCGCCCGAGAAGTTCCCGCGACTCCCGGCCCGGGACGCGCCGCCGCTCCCGACTCTGCTCGGCAGCCGATGACGTCACCGCGCTTTGCGTCCCTGATTGGCTGCTTGTGGCTTGTGGCGGGAGACTCGGGCCGGTTCGCGTGGCGGGTTCCTTTGTCCCTCCGCCTCTTCAGGCGGCGCCGGGGACGCAGGCCCCGCGGGCTCTGTGCAGTGCTCGTGCGGCGGGTCCAAGGGCCGCCGGCCGGGAAGAGAGGCGGTGACTCGGGCCCTGGGGTTTGTGCCGGGGCGGGCAGGGAGCAGGGTCCGGAAGACCCAGCCGGCAGGGGGCGGGGCAGGAGGAACACCGGGAGCCGCGCACCCCGTACAGCAGGTGGCGGCCTCCAGCCCAGCGCGGCCCCGTCTGCACTGGGAGGGGCCTCAGCTGGAAAGTAACAGAGCTCTGGGCTTGGGATCCGGCATTTCACTTCCAGTCTGTGGCCTTCGGCTCGTGTGACCTTGGGCAAATCACTGCATTCTGCGTCCGCGCTGCATTACAGGAATGATAAGACCAGCGGGTGTGTTTCACAGGTGTATTAAAAGGATGAAGAGTGCAAGTATTGCCCGATTATTCAACCTGCCGTTGTGGTGTAGCAGAAAGAATCCTGGCTAAGGAATGAACAGTCTTTCATTTGCCGGCATGGCCCTCACCGAGTGACTTTTCACCGCTGTAGGCTCCATTGTCCTCACCTGCAGAGTGGGAGAACCGGACCAGAGGATCTTTCAGATCTCCTTGGGCTCTGACATTATGTGGCTGACTGGTGACACTTAGCACCCTCCTGGCAAATCCCCCGCCGCCCGGAGGAAGACCTCACTCGCTTCCTCAGAAGGGATCCCGGGAGAGCCCGCTTTCCAGAGGGGCCTGTCCTCTCCCCACCCCCAGCAACCCAAGTGTCCCGAGGGCAGCAGCCAGTATGTAGGGCTCATCCTTGATGGAGATTCTCTCCCCAGGCTACTGGCAGGAGCAGGATTTGGAGCTGGGAACTGTGGCTCCACTCGGCGAGGCCATCAGCTCCACAGTCTGGAGCAGCCCTGACATGCTGGCCGGTCAAGGTGAGAATCCAGGCCCCTCGTCACGATGTCCCTCGGTTCCCTCCACCACATCCTCACATCATCTCCCACTCATGCTGCCTCTGCCCTCTGTCCCCCACTCTCCTCATTACCGCACAGCGCCTTCTCCCCTCCATCTGACATGTTAGCTCTTAGTTCCACACCACCGACCCCTCTCGCGCCTACGCCTCTTCCCTTACTCCAGTACAGAGACCTCTGCACCTCTACACCTTTTTGCAAAAATAAAATGACGCCAGGAGGCGTGTATTACTCAGGATAAACAGGTTCTGGAAGACACAACTGAGGTAGAATTCTTCAAAGGGACCCAGGGAGAACAGGATTACACGTCAAAACTTGGTATATGGCTGGCAGTAAATGAAAGGTCTCCCAGCCCTTTTCGTTCAGATATTTCAGGGATAAATCACGTCCCAGTTTACTCCGCCAGCTCCGTCTCTGGCTCACTAATCTTAAAAATCGTAGTTTTAAGATTCAAGTTAGGTGGTTACTTGAGGAGCATTCCAACGGAAAGGCCACTTGCACTGAGAGGGTCAGACCGAGTTCCAGTCCCACCTGGAATCACTGATTCTAGGATGCTCATAGGCAATCACCCCACCTCCATTGCCTCATTGTCTACATCCGTAAAATGAGGGAATCGGATTCCGTGATCCCATAAGATCCCCCTCAGTTCTGTTATGATTCCAAACACGGAAACCAGCGGCCAGACTTTGTGCTCCCGTGTGTAGACAGCCCCCCTGGAGCAGGATTCCTGTTGTCAACCCCAGCACAGGCCACCTTGACTCCTCAGGGGCCCCTTCTCTGCGAGGAGCATTCATTATGCATTTCTTGGAAATGGAGCTCAGGTAGCCAAAAAAGAAAGGAATACCAGACAGGGCAGGGGTAAGGTCAGCGCCGTAGGGAACATGGGGATTGTTTAAAATTACTCAATCAGGGACTGGAGGAAGTAAGTCTCTTGGCCTCCTAGTCAGAGAAGAATGGTGCTGGTTAACTAGGTGAGTGCCACAGAAGAGATGCTACAGAGGCTTGGGAATCAGAGCTGGAAGGCGTTGTTTATTTTAGTTCTGTGGGGGTCACTGCCATGGGGGTCACAGAAAGTCCCGGAGACGAGGGAATCCACCCTGGGAGCAGAATCCACGCCGAGGGGAACACGGAACCACGGTGGGTGGAGGAGGAAGCGAGTGTCACGCGGGGAGGGGGCCGGGCAAAGCCAACTAGAAGGCACATTTGGGAGTCAAATGGCCCATCCATCCGATACCTTATTCGTCCTTTCTGTCGTTGTTCAATTTGACTAGAGAGGGGTGAGAAAGCGTTGCCATCGCACGGAAGGGAAAATTTTAATCCTTTACTCTTTAAAATAACACGGGGGGTGGGGGGTGATTCGGGTTGGTGTGTCGAGAGGCGGGTTGTCCTGACCCTGGAAGAAATGTGAGTTACCGATGCAAGGAAGCTACGGTGGGAGGAGGGGCGAAGTCTGTGCCAAAATGTTTGGGTTCTTCTGTTTTGTTGAATCTTTTTTGTTACTTCTTGCACAGTTTTCTCAGCTCCCTCTTATGTCAACGAATGGGGGACCCGAGGCTGGCTTGGCCCCTCCTCACTTTTAGTTTCGGGGTTATTCGTCCCAAGCGCCTCTCCTGTCCTCGCTCTCACCTGCAGCCGGAGGCAGGAAGGGAGAGCCTGGAAGGCAGGTGCGTGTGCGTGCTTTCAAAGTGCCGTCTCTCAGGAAAGAGACGTGCACAGTGCTGTGTGTAGATTTGGGCGCCTCTATTCCTCTAAATGCCGTGGCCCTGTCCGTTCACTCAGCAAACATCCAACAGGTGACTATTTCTCTGTGGATTGCAAGCAAGAGGAAATAAGGTCTGTCTCCCCTTCCCCGCCACCTCTGTTCCTTCCCCCCCGCCCCACAACGACGCCTTCAGAGAACGCAGACGCCTGGGCCTTGGACGGTCTGGGTTAGAGGAGGTGGTACTTTGGCCCAGAAGTGGGTGGCGGGGCAGGGCTTCCCCACGAGGCTAACCCTCTGGTGCTCCTGCAGATAGCCAGCCCTGGACGTCTGATGAGACAGTGGTGGCTGGTGGCACCGTCGTGCTCAAGTGCCAAGTGAAGGATCATGAGGACTCATCCCTGCAGTGGTCTAACCCGGCCCAGCAGACTCTCTACTTTGGGGAGAAGAGAGGTAGTGTCCCAAGTTTCCTGTCTCCGGGGAAGGCGGGGGGGGGGGGAGGGGGGGGGAGGGGTACTGTGGGCTGGGGCAGGTACACCTGCGGTCCAGAGGCTGAGCACCAGGAAAGCACACTGGGCTCTTCAACTGACTCCAGAGAAATCTCGGCGTCACAGCTCTGACCTGAGCCGTGCATGGTCCTACAGGGTCTCGGCATGCCTACACCCCAGAGGAGCCCTAAGATTTAGCTGGTGTCAGAGTTGCCCTCACGGACTTGACGAGGAAGCCCACAAGATCCAAGTCTACTGTTCTGAGCGTCCCTGAGGCCGCTGTCCCCGGCGGCTCAGCAAAGTGGCTGGGACATAAAGGCGGCTCAGTCTCTGGAGCCGTGTCCCCTGCCCTCGACCACACTAGACCCCTTCTCCCCAAGACGCTAGCCTGGGACTGGGAGGTGAGCATGACAGGTGCCAGTGAAAGCCCCGCCCCCCCTTTCTGCCAATTTCCCCAGCCCTCCGTGACAATCGGATCCAGCTGGTCAGATCTACTCCGCACGAGCTCAGCATCAGCATCAGCAACGTGGCGCTGGCGGACGAGGGCGAGTACACCTGTTCCATCTTCACCATGCCCGTGAGGACCGCCAAGTCCCTCGTCACCGTGCTCGGTGAGGCTCCCCACCCCAGGGGCTCCGCAGCTCGCTGCCTGGCAAACCCAGCTCCTAGGTGAGCCCCTGAGGCAGCCAGGGGCCAGGCCAGGTCTCCAAGCATCGGGGAGAAGTTCAGTCCGTGCTTCCTTTGCCACGGAAGGAAATGCAAAGCGCTCTGGGTTCTATCTAGCCCTTTCTCCTCTACTTACTGTTTGCTCTGGGGGAAACCCCTTACCCCCTCTGAGCCTGAATCTCCTAACCTACGACAGGCAGATGCTAACATCCATTCCACGTGCCTCCCAAGACCGGAGGAGGGAAACAGGGCAAGTGCTTGCTGCGCGTGATTATAATGTCCAAGTAACCGCAGCTGCTTACGTGCTCTTCTCCGGGTCCTATGTTTCCATCTCCTTCTCTCCCCCCTGGAGCTTCCCACCAACTCTTTAGCCACCCAGCCGCGCGGTGGGGTGTCAGGTCACGCATCTCACCTTCCCTACTGGTCCTTAGGGAGGAGGCCAGAGACAAACATGATTTCTCTAGTCTTCTACCCACTCGAAACCAAAGCAGGACCCAGGTATCCTGACCCTCAGAGAGGCCATCTCTGCAGGGAGAGCTGAGGTCACCTGAGGGTGCCTCTCCTTCCTATCTTGGCCATCTCCCCCCCCCCCCTCCCGCTCCATGGCAGGAATCCCACAGAAGCCCATAATCTCTGGCTATAAGTCATCATTACGGGAAAAAGAAACAACCACCCTAAACTGTCAGTCTTCTGGAAGCAAGCCTGCAGCCCAGCTGACCTGGAGGAAAGGTGACCAAGAGCTCCACGGTAAGACCCCCCTGCTTTGGGGTTCAGGAGGAGGTGGCCGGGCGGGGAAGGAACAGAGGCGTGCGGGTCTCCGTGTCTGTGTGTGTGCACATCCGCAGGAGGAGAAGGACAGATATTCCGTGCACACGCGTGTGTGTGTATGTGTGTGTTAGGGCTACGTTCTCCCTGTGTGTACATAACCATTTCACAACTCTCTAAGTGTGTCTAAGTTGAGACTCACCATCTGTACGTCTCCCGTGGGGCCCGCACCATATCTGTGCGTCAGGGCTCACTCTGCGCCCATGTGTGCGCGTGTGCGTGTCTGTTCTGCACTCCAGGGGAACCGACCCGCGTCCAGGAGGATCCCAACGGAAAAACCTTCACCGTGAGCAGCTCAGTGACCTTCCAGGTTTCCCGGGACGATGACGGGGCAGACATCGTATGCTCTGTGAACCACGAATCTCTAAAGGGGGCTGACAGATCCGCCTCTCAGCGCATCGAGGTTCTATGTATGTTGTGGGCTTGTGGGTGGAGCGGGGTCAGGTATGAGCTGGGGGTGGGGAAAAGAAAGCGAGGTGGGCACAGGTAAGTGAGGAGACGACAGCACGAGGTGACAGCACGAGGCCAAGCGGGCAAGCTGTCCCGTAAAGGGCCCAAGAGCAAACATGTTAGGCTCTGGGGGCCGCGTGGGCTTAACTAATCCACTCTGCCGTTGCTGCAGGAAAACAGCCGTAAATGGTACGTAAACAAAGTAGCGTGGGTGTGTTCCAATAAAACTTTATTTACAAAAACACGGAGCTGGCAGGATTTGGCCTGAAGGGCAAGTTTACCAAGCCCCGATCCAGGCCAGGCGTATGCAGCCAGATTGTAAACTGTGCTGTACGTGTGACAAGTCAGGAGTCAGAAGATGCAGGTTCCAGTCTGCCCTCTACCACTTCCGGGTCATGGGGGTTGAGGAAATAGCTTTACCCCATTGAGCGTGACTCCATTTGTAACATGAGAAAATGAACATGGCGGTCACTGAGGCCCCTTCTTAGACCAACATACTGTGATTTCCCAGACTTTCCTGGCGGTCCTTCCCGTCTGCCCCAGCTGTGGTGTTCTTGGGATTCACAGTCACTACCCTGAACCTTTGCAAGGGTCCCCATCTCTCTGTGGAATCTGCCTTGAGTGCGGACAGGGCACATCCACCCTCACCTCAGGAGATTTGGAACTTTTCCGAGTGGGAGGAACTAAGACGAAAGGAAGTGCAAAAGCAGAAGATAGAGAATCACTCTTGTCCTAACTTATGTAGAGGCGGGCCATTTTCCTAAAATAATTCCAGTGCTTCATCTTTTTTATGGAAGATCCAGGACCGACATCGGTGCCCTTCAAACTAATTGCTAGACCCATTGCTGAAGCCCATTGCTGAACGTGAGGCAGGTTTGGGGTGACGTCACTTCCGCTGGGCAGACACGCAAGCTGGAGGCAGCTGGCCCGGATCCCAGCTGTGGTGCCACCAGTGACTAGCTGTGTGTCTTTCACCAAAGCTCGCCACCTCTCAGTGGCTTTTCCCCTTACTTCACGGAATTAACGTGAGGATCGAGGGGAAATATACGAAAGAACTTTGTAAACTTCTATATCGCTGTAAGGTCCCTCTCTGCTCATTAGTTATGAGCGTGGGGACCCCTGGCCTTGGGGTCGTTTCCCCCAGGCCCTGGTCCCTGTCCAGGGCTCCGAGGGACCTCCCCTGTCTGAACCCCAAAGACTTCTCTGTTAGGCAGCAGGCCATCTGGCACTGACTCACTCTAGGCCCAACTGCGATCAGCAGTCAGTCAACAAATGCTATACCCCAGGCACTGTGCTAGACTTTTCTGTGGTTTTGGGACCCTGGAACCCCCATTCTCTCATCTGGCCTGATTCTTTTTGTCCTGTTTGATCTGATGGAAACACGTCCATTAACTGGGTGTTAAGATTGGCTCTGTCCTCAGGGGAAGCTTGGCCTCTTTATCTGTTGTTCTAAACCGGCATCTGGTTGCATTGTTCTGTGAGGCCATCTGGACCTAGCATGCTAGCAGCCCGATGGTGCCAGTGGCAGATGCCATTATTCCGTCACAGAGCCCATCTATATCGTGTCAGTGCCTTTTTGCAGCCAAAATATGACCCCTGTCTCTTGTTGTTGCAAAGCTCTTCCTTCACTTTTGGGCTGACCACTAAAAACGATGCTCTGTGCGCAAGTGTCACTCCGGCTTAAACTCCCGTGCAGAGCAGAGAGGATTGAGCGATTGTGAGCTCAATGAATGACCAAGTTCAAGTTCACTGGTTCTGTCAGAAATGTGGATTACGTCCCATTTATGTGCTGGGCACAGGTGCACCCATGAACCCTCCTCAGCTCCCTGTTAGGATGCCCCTTCGGGTCCCACCAAGCACAGACCTTCAGAAATCCTACCTCTACGAGTTTGCAGTGCGAGTCTCACGCACGTTCAGTAGCGACAGTGGACTTGGCTTGCAAAAGGCAAAGGGCGGAGGCCCCGTCCCTGGTCCCGTAGGCTCCTGAGGGGTAAAGGCTGTAATACACGGCTTGGTGACGGTGAGGTGGCGGCCCTCTCCTGGACGCTGGGACAGTTTTGCCCTGACATCACTTCCTTCTCCACAGACACACCAACGGCGAAGATTAGGCCAGACCCTCCGCATCCCCGTGAGGGCCAGAAGCTGTTGCTTCACTGTGAGGGTCGCGGAAATCCCGTGTAAGAAGATCCACTTTCTCCCTGCCCCTGCCACACCTCTGTACCTCAGACTGTGATCTGCCCTTAGAGTGTCCCCATCTCCCTCCTACCGTTGCTCCCCTGTCCAGCACCATCCATCCTCTGACTGTTTCTCTTACAAAGCAGCAGAAAAGGTCACCCCCTGGCTGTCCCCGAGGTCCCCAGGGGGCACCAAGCCACAGTCAGACACAAGTTAGAAAATCTCCTTCATCCTCCAATCGAACCCTCCCTCCGAGCAGCTCGAGTCTGTGGCTCCTGTAACTCCTTGAGCCTTCGTCAAACTGTTCTTGACTCCCTTTGCCCAGTTATTGTCTTCGTTCCCCTTCTGTTCCCCTGGCCTGCTCTCCCCCTAACATGTGTGATTTCTCTGCCTCCACAGCCCCCAGCAGTACCTGTGGGAGAAGGAAGGCAGTGTGCCCCCGCTAAAGATGACCCAGGAGAGTGCCCTGATCTTCCCCTTCCTCAACAAGAGCGACAGCGGGACCTACGGCTGCACGGCCACCAGCAACATGGGCAGCTACAAGGCCTACTACACGCTCAACGTGAACGGTGAGCCCCGCCCCGTCCACCCCGCACTCTGCCTCTCCATCTCCTGAGAGCACCCCTCACCATGCACGGGGCCAAGTGAGTGGACAGGAGCCCGCCACGGGAGGGCCTGGGCCTCGGTCTCTGGGTCCACTCTGGAACGTGTGGTACGGGACAGTCAACACAATAGCGGGCTCTGGTCTGCCTCTGGTTAGCACTGGTGGCCCACACGATGCCGTCATTGCACCCCTGCGCTCCCCCTCCCCGCACCCCTACACCCACTCTGGCAGAGGCCCCCGAGTCTCTCCGGGGCAGCTGTGGGGGTTTCCCTGTCCAGTGGGCTGCCTCTCCCGTGACCAGTATGGGAGGCGTGCCACTGCACTCCTTCCTGAAGACCTTGGCCACAGCAGAGTGGGTCGAGGCAGAACACAGAGATCCGCTTGTACTGGGCTGAGGCACAGGGCATTTCCTCTGACGCCCTGTCTTCCAGAGACGCTAGTGACGCTTCTTCTCCGAAGTTCTCCCCGAAGGCGTGACCACAAAACCCAGCTTCAGGAGGAGTGACAGGCTAGCACAGAGGTCCCTTTGCTGGAGAGTTGGCAGAAGTCTGGAAGATCCCAATGGCAGCGGGGTCCCGCCAGAAAACCTCACAAGCCTTTCCTGAGAATAGGGGAGATCCGCTGTCGGGGGAACAGCAGGGACTCCCTTATTGGAAATGCCCGTTAGATCAGCGAGGTGATTGATGGCAGTTGAGGCTCCCATAGATAAGAGACCTGAGACCTTGGGACGAGGATGTTTGTGTAGATGGGGTGATTCTGGCTCCACGGGCAGACCTCTCAGCATGTGGGAGCTGCCTCCGCACGACAGAGCTCTTGTAGGATGACAGCAGCAAGGCTGAGGTCCAGTGTTGGCCCCCAGAGCTCCCGCAGCCAACTCTGATGGCACTGGCAGTGAGAGAAAGCTCTGGCGCCCCTGTGGTTGGTCTCCTGCTGGTCCCACCCCCACCCGTGGTCCCTCCGACATGCCTGCTTCGGTGCTGACACCTGGTGGTAGGAGGGGGTCCTGCATTTTCCTCCAGGAGGATCCTAAGCAGTCCTGATGCCACCAGCCTGGAAGGAAGAAATGGAGTTCTACCTAGAGACGGGGGTCTGTAACTGATGGCCGTGGGAAGCTGTGTTTATCTAAGAGATTTCCACTTCCATAGCCCCTGGAACAATGATCCAGGATTATTATTATTTTTTTTTTTTTTTTAACGTGGACCGTATCACCCACTGCTTGGGAGAAAGACGGGGGTAGCTTCCCTCCTTTTCTTCCGCCTTAACACCCTCACACCCACCCCATCATGTCATGGAGCCCCGAGGCCCATCCTCTCCCTCCCTCCCAAGCAGAGCAGAAAAAAAAAAAAAACACCAAAAAACCAGAGCGTAAATGTTTTCTTTTCAAATTAGGCGTAGACAGGCAAGGAACCAAAAAGCTGCCCAGTCCAGCCTGAGGAGACATGGTAGGAAAGACAAAATACATAAGGAGTCAGTGAGGCCTCAAGGCTCAAGCAGAGTCTGTGGGAAAACAGTGGCTTTCCCATGGGTGGAGGAGTTATATCTACGGCTAATGCAATTTTGGACACATCCAGCCTATGCCCTGGGCCTGGGCGCCGTCTCCTCAGATATTTGGGACTTGGACTAAGCGGGTGCCGTCCTTGGCATGCCTGTGGCCCAGGCTGCGCTCTGAGGATCTGTCCTCTGTAAATGCTGCGGCGGAGGGCGGTTTCTCTAATCTGATGGCGGAGACACGGGCCACCGTGGGAGGAAAGCACTGGGGGCCATCCATGAAGGAAGGTCTCTTTGCCTTTCCCATAAACCTCTGGATGCTGGGATGTGAGGCTGGAGTCCCGGACCCCCCAGATGAGACATGCTGGAGGACCGGGATGTAGCCGGAACCGCAAACTTCTCCGCAAAGAGGGAGCACTGGTCATTACACGGCATCGCCTTCTGTAAGGCGCTGCCACACTTCCCAGTTCTTGGCTTTGTCCACCAGACAGACCTCCTCGATCTGGTCTCAGGGCGATAGGTGAACAGACTGGGAAGCCCCCCGACAGAAGCCAGGTCTGGACATCAAGCAGGCAGGAGGGGAAGAGGGCATGATGACAGGGAAGGAATGCTCTGACACCCGCTGAAAGTCGAAGCAAGAGAGACAACAAGAAATGTTGGAAATGCTAAAGCTACTTGGACCAAAGCTTCGGTGCCACGGACACAATTTAAAGGGTTGAGCGTGAGCAGATTTATCAGCTTATCCGCGAGGACATAATTTGTTTTATAATTACTGCGTTCCAGACAAGGGTACAAAATAAGGCTTATCCCCTCTGCCGCGCGACGCGCTCCATTCTCCTGATGTCGGCCCGTGTCCTGTGCTGTGTACGATACCCATGGCTGGAGATGCTCTAAGACAAGGGCTCTTCCCAGGTCTGACTGTGTGCGTCCCCTCCCTGCAGACCCCAGCCCAGTGCCCTCGTCGTCCAGCACCTACCACGCCATCATTGGCGGGATCGTGGCTTTCATCGTCTTCCTGCTTCTCATCCTGCTTATCTTCCTGGGCCACTACTTGATCCGGCACAAAGGTCAGAGGCAGCAGGGGGCTGGGGGGCAGGTGGGGAGGCAGCGGGGGGGGCTGGGGGCAGGCCTTTGGAGACTCAGTGGCCCCTTGGAGTGTGAGAGGAAGAAAGGAGGCAGCCAGCCCTGCGATGACTGAGCGCCACCAACCCCGCAGTAGAGCCCGATCCCTCGGTGATCTTCCCACTCAGCCAGCCGCTGCTCCCACGCCGCTCTGCCTCCAGGGCCTCCTGCTTGAAGGCAGAGACCAGCCCGAACTGCCTCTCTGTCCCATCCTGTGCTGCACTTTCTTGCCTTCTCATCTACCTGTCCTCTGATTCCGGGGCCCCTGGTCCCCACACCATCTCTTCCCGCCTCCCCTTATCCGTGCCCACAGACCCTCCTCTCAGGCGCTCCCCTCTGCAACTGCTTTAGCCAGCAGCCCAGTGCTTGGGCGGACCCGGATCTCGGCTGCCTGCTGAAGGGCTGAGCTGCAGTTTCCCTGTCCCCATCTAGGGTGTGTGTGTGTGCACACGTGTCCTCACAGGTACACACATACACATGCACACATACACATACAGGTACACGTTCCACATGCAGGTGCACACACACACATGCACACAGGATGTGTACACATACATGCTTATGCACACATGTGCAGACACACACAGGCACACA